AGTCCCAGGTGCTGCCCTCCCTGGCACACCCCCACCGGCTGCAGAGAGGCCACCTCTGCCAGTGCCAGAGCCAGAGGAGGCCTTGGGAGAGGGGCTACAGTTTGTAAAGAGAGACAAACTCTTGTTCATAAATTAACTGCACTGAAGGAAGCAAGTGAAGCCATTACCTTCTCGTGGTTTTCTATTAAAATTTCAATCACAATGTTCTGAAATTTGATGTCCATAATGGCAGCAACTGTTTCCTCTTGAGGTCGAAGCAGTGTTGGCCCAAACACCACACCCAGATTAGCAACAGTCATCAGGTTCTGCTTGTGATTATTTGCAACTCTGGAAAAAAAAAATTAAAAAAAATTTTTAAAAATGAAAAAAAGTAGGTGAGAGAACTAATCTGCATGGAAACCCCCTCCCTGCTCCATGGCTGGCACCAGCTTTACACTGCTGTTTACATTTTTTACACTCCTGGTGAGCTCCTTGAAGGCTCAGCCATGTGGAAAAGTACAAATTTAACTATTGTGTTCTAGAGACCTTTCAGCCACAGTGAATTGACTAATCCCAAAAAACCCCAACGCTACACCGGCCACCGAGTCTCATGTTGCAAACCACTCCCAGGAAAACATCTTGAACCATTAATGCTTAAAACCCTTCTAAAAACAAATTGTTGGACCTCTGACACACACTGTTCTCCAACTGAATGAGTGACCTAATATGTTCCGAAATCCAATTCCTTCTCACCCATTTAAGTTTTTGCCTGCACTGGAGGTCAGCCCCATCTAGCCCAACCAGAACATGCTGAAAGGAGAAGATCAGCATTTACCACCGGACCCCTGTGCACACACATGTGCCCTTCTCTGAGGAATCCATCTGACATAGACACCTGCTCCCCAGGGACCCACCGACACTCGAGCCATCCTCCCTGTCATCTCCATCTATTTTTATGTTTGCAAGTGTTGCAGCCCAGCAGGAGCAGATCGGTGCAGCAAAGTGAAACAGCTTGTGCTGAGGACCTGGCACTGATTGATGTGCATTTCTGGAGGTGACTGGAGTAGCTCCAGTCTGGCTCCTGGTTGTAGGGGTACAAAGCATCACCAGCCCTCCTGGGACAGGTCCTGAGCCCCAAAGAGCCCCGCTGCCACGCACCGAGCCCACGTTGCTGTGTGGGGCACAGCCCAGAGCTCCCTGGGCCATGTCCAACCACAAGTGCCAGGGGACCCGGGTGCTCAGCTGCTCCAGGGCAAAGGCCTGGTGGAGACATGGCCCAACCTTACTGAGCACCACAACCTCCAGCTGAAGCACCTGCTGGAGTCACACAGTGACACGTGTGCGGGTGACACAAGGACCTGTGGTGGGAGCCCTACAGCCCCATCTCTGACACCCTTTCTTGTGGTTTTCTCCTGACGTCTTCAACCAGGAAACGTGATGACTTCAGGCAGTGCAATCACACAAGGGATTTTTAAAATGTCTTTTCCCTTTCCTCCTTCTCTCCCATTTTCCCTGGACAAATGCAGAAGGCCAGCACATGGTGAGGCTGACACTCAGTTCTTGCTGCACTGACCCAAAAAGCTCTTGCCATGAGCTTTTATTACTGTCTCAGGGCCAAGACACCACAGCGCTCGGTTATGTGCATGCTCAGCTTATTTCAGCACAGTGTAACCTAGGGCTGGCTTAAAAGTAAAGCTGCTCTCCATCCAAATCTCACTTGCACCAGCAAAAAACTCCTCAGCCCTCAGCCTTACATATGGCTCCTCAGGCAGCAGCAGCAGCCCTCATCTCTGAGGGATGCTCAGGGGCTCAGGCCTGCTGGCTTAGCCCTCTCCAACAGCCACTTCAGCCCAATTTATCACCCAGGCAAGAAGTCTCACCCCTGGTGCTTGTTAGCTCCCTGGAGAATACACAGAGCTATTACCTCCACCAAGTCTGGGCTTGGGTTACAACTTCAAAGGTGCAGATGTCCTGGCCAAAGTCTTGCTCACTTGCAGGAAAAAACCCTCCTATTTCTACAGGGACTCAAAATTTTCCCCCACTCAACCCATCTCCTTACCAAGACATTTACAAAAGCCAATCAAATTTTTACATTGCAACAACATCTATATTTCAGAAACAAGTTCACAAGCTTCCTATTTACATTTTGAAAAACACAGCTGTAATTCAAATAGTTCTGAAAAGTACTAAAAAATAATAATTTTAATGATCTCTGTGGTTAGTAAAACAATGTTCATTTATAAAAAAAACAACTGAATTGATCTAAGTCTTACAAAATTAGGTCCCTCCATTTCTCATTACCCTTACCATGTAATACATCACTCTAATAAATTGCACTGTCAGTGACTCATTAAGGCTGGGCAGCTGTGCACGGGCCTGTTAATTATTTCAGACTAAACTATTAATGCCTTCCCAGCCAGGACAGGGTCCTGCAGCACCAGCTGTGGTCCTGGCTCTGCCCGAGGAATGCCCACGGGCCCAGACATGGCCTTGGCCTTCACCTTCCTCCCACAAACCCTTCACCACGTTTGCTTTGCAATTTTAAAGTGTGGAAGCTGTTCTGCAGCTGGGCAAGTCTGGTAGCACATGGACTTCTGATCCAGACCACCAGCACTTTACCAGTGATGGTCTTCACCACACTGGGTTACCAAAACTATCCTACAAGCCACGATTCACCTTTCACATCCTTCAAATTCCACATCCCTTATCCACATGATAATTTCCTATAAAATGTACCTCTTCATGATCCTTTGTACTAGAAAATAACGCCACTGTTTCCAAAGATGAGATGTTCTAACTCCTGCTTGGTGCTTGTCCCCCCTGCAAAGGGACTGTGTTCTATGAAGACCTGACCCACCTGATGTACACCCAGGAGGGGTGCTGGTAATGCAAGCACCCAGCCAAAGGAGCTGGAGACCCAGCTCTGCCACCAGGGGCGACATCCTGTGGGATCACTGTCCCTGTGGCAGAACAGGCAGGTCCTGTTTCCTGGGGTGCCCGTGGACACCCGCTCACTTCACATTCACTTTCAGAAAAACACAGGAGAGAGGGAGTGGAGTAAATCCATGTTGTGTGTTAAATTAGATTATGCCTGGGTTGCTTGGATACTGTATAATCACTGGCATGACCAAACATAATTTAATAGAGTAATTGGTGGCCAAGCTTCAGCGCAGGGAAGGCGCACAGAACAGTAAAGGTTTCTGTGTGCACTGGCTTGCAGTCAGCACGTGTGACACAGAAGTGCAGGGGGGAGTGCTGGGCTGGCCCTCTGCTGCTCCACAGACATGAATGATTTAAGTTTCTTCAGTCTGGTCAAAAGTTCATATTTATTTTCATGGAAATCCAATTAAAGAACCTGTTTGCTTCTCCAGCAAGCGACGCAGAGAGCTGTGCTGCAGCCACCACAGCTCAATGCCAGGCACAGAGCTCAGCGCGACAGAAAACGTACGAACCTCAGACTCCCAGACTGTGAACTGGCAGCAGGGGGAACATTTAATACTGGTGGACGTGGTTTTACTGGTACGTGCTGTTACCTAAATGAACACTCAGCTCTGACCCACCTGCCCCAGGGGTCACACACCTCCACGGGCAGCAATGTCTTCTCCAGGGGATGCCACGTGGGCACCTGGCTCTGCTCCCCACAGAACTCCTGCTTTCTGTGGCTGGAATCACTTTTTGTATGTTTTCTGTATATAATATACATGTATGTTAGCTTCAGCCAGAGTGCTTGTTATGAGTTCAAATATCTTGCCTGATTGAGAGAAAAAAATCTCTCAGAAAACAAACATCTGAGAGGGAACAAAGACAAAGTCTGGAGTGTTTCTATTTCCATGCCTGGGACAAACCTTTGAAAACAAAGTGCTTGTTATGGCTGGCCTAACAAGACCTTCTAGGATGGCAAATAATGCAGCTAATTCATACTGCTACAGGTAAAAATACATTTCATGTCTGCCAGCACCATTAGTGCTCCTATTTAACGTGAAAAGCCAATCATGCAGAAGGCCAGCAATCCCCGAAATTACTTGGGCTGCTCTGGGTAGTTTGTTACAAATTAAACACTTACATTTGTCTCTGGACATGACTGAAAGATAAAAAGCACAGAGAATGGGGACAGGCCCTGCCAGCAGGACCCCACCAAGGCAGCAGCTGTGCTCCCCACGAGTCCTCCCAAAGCAAATCCCAGGTGGGGGAGCACAGCTCCTGGCTGGGTGGTTGCTGGGCTGCATCCACAGGAAGCCCTGCAGCAGCCACTGCCCCTGCCCTCCGGCTCCCCCTTTGCCCATCCCCTCAATTCGGATTGAGCGGGCAGCTGCAAGTGCACACAATTGGAGGTATTTATCAGATAAAACCTAATGAGTTCTGGGAAATGTTCCTGGGTGCATTCAAGCCATCCCTGCACATTATTGAGTTTAACTGGGCTGCGGCTGATGAGTGTGTAGGTGGAGGGCTGGGTGAGGAGCTGGGTGAAGGCAGGATGGCCACTATGCTGCTCTGCTGTGTCCCCCTCTGAGGGGCTGGTAGAGCAGTGTCCCAGCCCTGCAGCTCCCCAGGGACTGCTCCTGGCTCCAGCCCACAGGTTACCAGCTCTAGCAGCCCACAGCCTCAGGAACACCATGACAGAAGGTGGTTTATTGCAGGGCATTGCAAACGCTGCTGCGCTGAGCTCGTGAAACCCAACTGTGCACGGACCTGCCTCTGCTTGGGGGAGAAAACACACTGGCATCCCTGCCACTCCTGGCACCCAAACTCAGAGAAGCACAAACACCAAGCTTTGTCCAAAGGAAGCTACAGCCAGGAAAGAAACAGACCAAGTTTTAAAATAAGACTAATAAACATCATCGTGAAAATATTTTAAGTTACTCAAAGGAGGTTTTTAAAAACTCAGAGCTACCTTCCTGTGATACCAGCAAAAGAGACTGGAAACAGAAACTCTCCATCAAGTGCCCTTGTAAACACCAATCCCACCCCTCGCCCACTGCAAAAGAAACAAATAGGCCATGCATGCAAAAAGAAATCCACCTGCAGCACTATCCACTGGTGTCCCAGGCAGCCAAACTGGTCAATTTAGGTAATTGTTCCTAAAAGGCACGTGCACAGGAGGACGTGATGGGGGAGTTGGACAGCTGTACCACTGGGAAGAGCAAAGGGGAGTGGGGAGCCAGGGAGCACCACCAGCTCTGCTTCATCTCCCAAGCCAGGGCACACACGCAGACACGACACACAAAGTGCATAGCCCTCATTTCTCCTGCTGTGTTCACTGAGGATGTGCCTGTGCTGGATGCAGGGAGCTCTGCGAGGGCCAGAGGAGCCCAGGGCGGCAGGAGGACGAGCACACAGGGCTCTGCTGA